TGGTGGTGGTGGGGCGACGTGCGGGGGCCAAAAAACTGAATTTTGAATTTTATTTTTTTTTTATTTTTTTTTTAATAAAAAGATAATTTTGTATTTTACGGGTGCGGTACGTAGTAAAACGGGTGCGGTATTTAGCAATTCAGTTCGGTCAATGAAATAAGGACGGCCTTTTCGAAATATTATATTATTTACATCAACACTATGGCTTATTGATTATGCAAAAAACACTACTTTCATACGCTAAGTTATTTGTTTTAATCAATCCGATGGTTTATCAATTGTCCCTTTAAATCTCTCTTATTTCATCATTCCTTTTTACTTTGGATTTTTTCTCTCCACCAACCACCCTCCTCATATCCTCATCCTCCCCGTTTATTTTGTTTTCATATTGCTTGACAGATGTTATGTTATTTTGTTGTTACATATGTTATTTGTTGTTTTCATAATATATATTATTACTTTTTAAAGTTACAATAACAAATTTTTATGTTGCTTTTAAGTTAATTATTTGTTATGTAGTATATAATTAATTGATCAATCTTTTTATTTTTATTTATTCATTATTTTATTGTTTGTTTTCTTAGACATTTATCTTTGGAGAAGAAGAAGAAGGGAGAAAGAGATAAAAATGTGCAAAAGAAAAGAGAAGGAAAACAAGGAAAGAAAAGAGAGAGAAGGCAAAAAGATAAGGAAGTCGTTTTACATAATTTGGAAGAATTTTAACATTTTTTAAATTTTATGTCTTTTATAATTTTAAAAAAAAAAAAAATTCTTGAGCAATTATGTACTTTTGCCCCCGGTCAATCTGCCCCCTTTGATAGTGTCAGCATGCGATCATAAGCTCATTTTGAAATCTCTCAATATATTTACATACATACATACATACATACATACAGCCCGCGATCATAAGATCGTTTGTGAGATGGGAAAATATATATATCTTTTTAATGTTTTCTTAAAAATATTCTAGTGTATCTATTTAAAAAAAACTAGCACACTGTAATTCACGGTATTTTTATTTGTAAAATGTAATTATTGAATTGTATAATAAGGAACAGATCATTTATATATATCACGAAATAGTTATCTATTGATAATTTATTTTTGTATGTAATCTTCATGAGATCATAAGTATGGAGAAGAATAATAATGATTGTGATGTTATGGTCGTGATTGGCCCTTTTATGCTTTCTTTTAATGGAGTTGGCTTCTCTTATTTCAATATTGGAGATCTAGTGTTTATATGTACGAAAAAAGTGATCACACATTAAATGGGGAATGCCAGCTAGGGGTGTAGGGTGACACCACGTGTTTTCATGCAAAAGTGGATTGGACAGCTCAAACGGTGCTACCAGCTTTATCAGTGTACAATCAGATGGCAGAGTCGATCGCCAATCTTCCCTAAGAAGCTTTTGTGGGCGATCGACAACCCTAATGACGTGTGCTTCGGTCGTCCGTCCTTTGGGCTGAAATTTGTACGTGGGCCATGGCTTCTTCATAATCGACTATTTCTTAGGTGTAACAGTTTGCTTATAAGCATTCTGTTACAAATAAGTTTGGTTTGGTAGGACAAGTCTTTTTAAGAAACTCGAGCTTATCTCATAAGCTTCTTACGATATGTTTTCAAATAAGCCCGTTGAAATTTTTTTTTCAATTGGCTTATGAGTTAATTTTACCAAATAATTTATCATATCAGCTAATTTTTTAGCCATAAGTTATAAACTATCAGCTATAACCTCGAAATTCACTTATAAATTATAAGCTAACTTATAGGTTATTAACTAGCTTTTGAGCTTGTTTTACCGAATATAACATTAAACAAATTCATGTCTTGAGAAGGTTATTTCTCACGAATTGTTATTAACCCCATTGTTTTCTCTTTCTAGCCCAAAATCCACAATTTTTTTGTAACCCTCGCCGGCTTCTTGCGCCTCGCCTCTTTTCAGTCGGCTTCGTCTCTCCGTGGGTTTGGCTTGCACCTGACCAAACGATGCACCTTCACCCCGGAAGAGACCCTTTATTCCCGTCTTGGTATTTTCCTCTTCTCGAGCGGCCATGGCATTTTCTGGGAGTGGGCATCGGACGGGTGGTTGGCGGCGGTATTGGCTCCGACCGCTGCTTGGTGGTGGGTGGAGTAGAGATCAATGACTTCTCCTTCCTTTGCTCTTGTTTTCTTTCTTTGTGTTAGGGAAGTCTCTGGTGGTGCTGGGCATGCCCTCAGTCATGCATTTTTGGAGTCGTCGTTTTTGCTGTGGAGGGAGGGGTGGGTTGTGGGTCTCCGGTCGCGACTGCGTAGGTGCTATGATAAGAAGAGGGTTTGGTCCGTTGTGGGTTTGGTTTAGTCAGTCGTATCTTTACTGAAGTTTCTAGATCTGGCCTGGGCTTTCTGTCTCCTTGTGTAGTCGCCTTCGGGTGTTAGGTTGACGGGTGGAGGCTCGGAGTTAGACATGGCCAGGTGCCGGGTCGGCGGGCCTCAATTGTTGGACCCGTAACCGGCCCGGCGGTTCGTTGAACCGCTGGGTTAAAAGAAAAAATATAAAATGAACTACGACTTGTCGGAAAAACCGGAACCGGTCCCACCGGCCCGGCCCGCCGGGACCGGTTAATGAAAACCATTGAACCGTAACCGGACCGCTTTGGGCCCGGTCCGGTTCACGGCCCGTGTACTGTTCATGTCGGTACCGGTGCCGGTTTGGTCCGGGCCGGTACCGGTTCACGGTTCGGGCCACGGGCCGGTTCGGCCCGTGGCCATGTCTACTCGGAGTTCTTTTTCGACTACAGGGAGAACTTTAGTCTATGTTTAGGAGTGGGTTGTTTTTGTGTTTTGTAGGTTTATTTATGTTTTTTTGTTTTGTTTTCTTTCTCCCAATTGAGATGTAGTTATTCTCCACAAGTGGGAGCGATTATTCTTGTTTTTGTTAGCTTTTGTTGCGATTGCATTTGTATTTGAGAAATGCTATAGGTATATAATATTATACATATGGGTGTATATAACATTCACAAAGAGTGGATCCTAAAAAATTAAGTGGACTACACTCCATGTGAGTGTTATGTACACACCTACGTACATTTATTATGTACTTGTAGCATTTTTCTTTGTTTCTATGCTTCTAAGTGAGGATTGTATTTTTGTGTTTGCTTATTTATAAAATTCTCTACCATTAAAAAACAAAAGGTTATTTCTCACAATTCCCTCCCCATTTGAGTTGCTGTCGCCTATCGCCTTTCTCCGTCTCCTTCTAAAGCTGCAAATAACTTCCAAAATCCAAAGGCAACAAAAACTCAACAATGGTACCAGTAATCAACGCAAACGCAAAAACCACTCCCACCATTCAATTCCACCATACATTCGCTCTAAGTCCCCTCCCCAAACTCCATTTCTTCGCCCCCTCCGCCCTCAATCTGAAAGCCCTAAAAATCTCATGCCGCGGAGAAAAAGAGGAAATCCCAGCCGACGACGCGCTCGCCGCCGAACTGAACCTCGAGATCAATAAACTGAACTCCTCTTCCGCTCATCGGGAAGAGGCCTTCCGGAAAAGCAGAGAGATTTTGTTCGCGGAGGTCTGTAAATTCACGGGGGTGCTATCGGCGGATTTGGAGCGAAAATGGAGGAGAATGAACGAAGGCGAAAGGTGGGCTATGGCCAAAGGGTTTGTTTCGGTGTGGGGCGATCGATTTCATCCTCTGTCTGCGAGATCTGTTAAGGACATGATGGATGAATACTTGAGGAAAGAAGATGAACCTGTTTCGATTGATTTGTTACCTGGCTTGAAGAAATTGTTGGGGGTTTTCTTTTCTGGAAATGATGAAGAGTGAGAATTTTCCCTTTTTTTTTTTGTTTAGTTGGTTTTGGACATTTGGTTTTGCTCTGATGATGAAATATGTTGATCAAATTGTATCATTTTTAGAGGAGAAAAAGTATCAATTTAGTTGAAATCTTGTTGCTGTATGTATATGGTGGAGATCATGATGCAGAGAGTTTGATTAGTGGAGTTGCCAGTTCAAATATAATTTGTGCCTTTTTATGAGTTGCTAATATTGCTCAGTGCCGTTGTGTACAGTGGTATAAGAACTGTGATGTAAATGCATATATGAGAACTGAGAAGTGTTAAGAGGCTTGAAACCTTAATGTCAGTAGAAGGCTTGGCCATAAAAAGATGGATGATAACATGTTCAATTAATATAGAATATGTATCATGTAAACAATAACCAAAATCAAGGATCTTCTAAAGCACAGCAGTTGCAGAAAAAAATGAGAAGATGGCTCTAGTTAAAACACAGCAGCTGCAGCACAAGCGAGTACACGACCTAAAAAAGTTAAAACTTGTTACATTTAGTTATCAAATGTCACGACCACAGCCTGCACTAAAAGCCAGCAAGTAAAGCTTTCTTTCTACAGATATAGAAGCCAACACATAGTAGAGAAATGCAGCATGAGCCATAGCATATATGACATTTAGAGGTTATCCAATTAAGATAATCTATTTGATGCTTCAAATTGTTGTATAAAACCGCTCTTATGTTGTTAACAAACAGTTCAAACATATAACAAAAAATGAATGAGAAAGCTACTTTGGAATGCACGAAATCGGAGAATTTTTAAGGGAGAGCCTTTTTGTGCTGCCGGAATACTAAGAGAGATTGAGACATGGAGATGTAATGTATTCGTAGTGGTAATGGGAGAACGGAAGTTGGGGGTTTTTGGAGTCGGCCGAGAAAGTGTGTATGTGCACTGGACTCTTTCGCCCGAGGGATGGATCAAAATGAATTCGGATGGCTCTTTTAATTCGTCGCCGGGTAAGGCTAGCGTGGGATGGTGAGTTACGCGGTTTTTCGAAATTTTTCATTTACTTTTTTTGGAAATAAACAAATATGAGACTATTTTTGGAAATTTCCAGTCTATTTTTGGAAATTTTTCATTTACTTTTTATAACCAAGTAGTGTTACTTGACTAACATTCTTCGAGAAGAAAATGTTAGTTTTTGCTTCACTCACTCGTAGGCCTGACACTTGACAAAAATCTGTGAGGACCCGCTTTAGAGTACGCACCTGGTCGGTTGAAGCTTCCAGAAATAGCAATAAGTCGTCCGCGAATAACAAGTACGGGACTTGAACTCGGCCACGCCCTACACTTATCGGTTTCCAATTGCCGGCCCCAACCTCGCTTTGGATGGCATGTGCTAGACGTTCAATGCAAAAGGACAAAGAGGTAAGGGGAGATAGGGTCCCCTTGTCGCACTCCCCTTGACGGGTGGAATGTTTCGCTCGGAACTCCGTTCCAGAGGATTTGCATGGATGCCGTGGAGAGACACTTCATAATGGCATTCACAAACCTTGGTGGGAAACCCGCCAAAGTGAGAGTATCCTCAACAAAGTCCCAGCGTAAGAAATCGTAGGCCTTCTCTAAGTCTACTTTCACTACCATAAACCCCGTGGCACCCGTTTTAGTCTTCATTGAGTGAATCAATTCCTGGGCCACAATGATATTATCTTGAATTTGTCGACCCGGGATAAAGCTGGATTGTGCCGGGCCGATTAATCCGGGAAGAAGCGGCTTCATCCTGTTAGTAACCACTTTCGTTAGCAATTTGTATGCCACATTTAGGAGACTAATAGGACGGAATTGTTTAATCGTTTCAGGCTGGTCGCACTTGGGGATAAGGACAAGAAGAGTTTTGTTGATGTCAGCCGGCATATCTCCGCCATTAAGAATCGACTTGATTAGGCTGCACACTGAATGTCCTACTCTCGTCCATTGGCTTTTAAAGAACAAAGCATTGAGTCCATCAACTTCCGGCGCTTTTAACGGCCCCATCTCCTTGAGAGCCCTTGTAATCTCATCCTCAGCCACTTCTCTTTCAAGCATAACCAAAGACTGTGGGTTTATGGCCGGGAAGCCTGGGCCCACGGCTCTGAGCAAAGGAAACGTCTGGTCGGCCTCATAGATGGTCTTGAAATAATTGACGGCCATGCATTGTAACTCGGCCTGATCCGTAATCAGGTTGTTCGCTTCATCCTTCAAGGCAACGATTTTATTTGTGCGTCGTCTGGCTTTCACTTGCCTGTGGTAGAAAGTTGTGTTACGATCGCCAAAGAGAGACCAGTTACGGCTTGATTTTTGGATCATGAGGACTTCCTCTTGAAGCAAAATGTCTTCTAGTTCGGCCTTTAAAGTCTTTTCCAACAACGATAACCGTGAGGATTTGCAATAATGTAATGAGCGTTGAATCCCTCCAATGCGTGCCAGCAAAGTTTTCTTTTTAACGAAAATGTTCCCAAAGACTCTAAAGTTCCAGTCACTTGCCGCAATGGAGAAGGATTTGGCTGCATCCACGAAATTGTCGGTCCCCGACCAACACTCTGCCACGACTTCCTCAAACCCATCATGTAACAGCCACGGAGCTAGGAACCGAAAGGGCTTTGTTCCTCGAGGTGTGTGTTGGCTCGGGTTGCAACGAACGACGAGAGGTGTGTGATCCGATTGTAACCGAGTCGCATGGAGTACAAAGGCATTCGGGAACCTATTCATCCAAAGCTCGTTGCAAATGAACCTGTCCAGTTTCTGGGAAAGGTCTCTTCTGCACCATGTGTATTTAGTACCATCAGTTTTGACTTCATGTAGTCCGTGGTCAAAGATCCAGTCGGAAAAGGCACCACAGCCTTTACCTCCATTGGTAGAGCCACCAGATCTCTCCGAAGGCCGTAGTATACAGTTAAAGTCTCCACCAATTAACCAAGGGACATCGATGGATAGAGCCAGGTTGTGTAAAAGGTCCCACAAAACCCGTCTGCCACGCGGGTTAGGGGAAGCATAGATGAAAGTAATAAGGGACTCTCTATCATCGATCTTAGCATGAAGGTGAACGAACTGCTTGTGGCATTGAAGAATGGTCACCTCGGCTCTCTCCCTCCACAAAACCCATATCCCTCCCGAGAAACCAGAGGCCTCGACTCGGAACGACCGGGGATATCCAGATCTACGAATAAACTCAACAGCATGCACACCGTGTTGGGATCTGTGAGGATCTCGTTATGTACAAATCACGAATTCAATAGCAAACGTAAACCTATGCGCAGCGGATCTAAAGGTTTGACGTAGAGAACTTACGGCTTAAAATTTATGTAGATCTGGTTGACCACGAACGGTTGACCGCAATTGATTGACCGCAACACGCGTCTTGGGTTGCACGAACAAGATCAGATCAAAACTGGATCAAACGGATGCAAACAGATCAAAACG